GTTTCAGGTTCAAACTCCTCTCCTGTAAAGTGCTACACTGTTGACAGACAACAAAAAATAAAACACGCACTCACACACATACACACACACACACACACACACACACACACACACACACACACGATTACTCTATAGTTGCCCATTGATGGGCAATTATAAAAATAATAATTTCTATTATTCTGTATATGTACTTGAATTGATTATTTCAAAGCGTGTTTACAGAGCAATGCTGCAAACCTAAATATTAAATGGAACATTAAACTTGGCCGAGTTTAAATATAAAACAGGAGATTTATCAGAACATGACCGTGTCTCCTCTGGACACCAGCACACTCCTGTGGTCATGTTTAGAAGCAGAAGTTGGAAGGAAACAATGAATAAACATAAAAAGAACTCTGTACTTACATCTGAATGAAAGCGTGCATCAAAAACAGAAATCAGCTCTGTACCTGCACAGACATGACATGTCACTGAGAGCAGAATAAAGAGCAGAGCTACTTGGTTTACGCTGAACATGATGCCCATCAGACAGAGAAGGAAGACAAAGTGGAGTCTGAATGTTAACTTTTACATGTGTTTGTGGTGGGGCTGCAGAGAAAAGGAAGTGGTTAGTCAAAGTTTCAAAGATCACACACTTCATGTTGAATAAAATGAATCCAGTGTAAAGTCCATGAATTCAAATCAGAAAGTTGATTTACTGCTTGATTCTTACTTGAACATACACTGAAAACTATCTCACTGATCATAATCATTTGATGAGCTGAAATATAAACAGTACATCTGGTGATGCCACAGGAAACCACCCTGATGCTTAACATGCGCTCAGTGCATGTCAAAGGTTTACCTTAATCGGGTCTCAGTGAGCTGTGTGTGTCTGCAGGAGTCACCAGCTTGTATGGACCACAATACACAATGACAAGAATCAGACCAGACTTGTTGACGTTAATCCATCTCATTTTATAGCATTTGGTGTGCCAGCAGAATTACAGCATCAATCTTGTTCATTCCTTGTGTCCACTGAGTAAAGCAGCAGAGCAACCCACACTTGTCCTCCACTGGAATAACTTAAAACAAAACTGTATTTAAAAAGTGAAACGTGCAAAACACAAGTGACTTTTATGTTATAAAATTCGACGATGCACATTTGAGGAAACTTTATTATCATTATGACAACATTCACTGTGCAATGCTACGATTAAAACATTCATGCAACAGAACATATTACATTTCTCCTACTGCTATAAATATGAAGGCCGATTTAAATAACTTCATGTCTTAACATGAAGACACTTGTCCTCCCTCTGATGACCTTCCTTTTAAACACCTGCTTTGATCCTAAAAAACAAACAAACAGGATGTCCATCAAATTTCTTCTCCCTCTTGTCTGCGTAACTTTCAAACTTCCATCTGAATGGCCTCCCAGCTCACATGTGACCATAGATTGAATTCAGCCTCTCTTTGTACTGACTCCTCTTCTTGTTATTTGNGGAATAACTTAAAACAAAACTGTACTTAAAAAGTGAAACGTACAAAACACAAGTGACTTTTATGTTACAAAATTCGACGATGCACATTTGAGGTAACTTTATTGTCATTATGACAACATTCACTGTGCAATGCTACGATTAAAACATTCATGCAACAGAACATATTACATTTCTCCTACTGCTATAAATATAAAGGCTGGTTTTAATAACTTCATGTCTTAACATGAAGACGTTTGTCCTCCCTCTGATGACCTTCCTTTTAAACACCTGCTTTGATCCTAAAAAAAAAATAACAGGATGTCCATCAAATTTCTTCTCCCTCTTGTCTGCGTATCTTTCAAACTTCCATCTGAATGGCCTCCCAGCTCACATGTGACCATAGATTGAATTCAGCCTCTCTTTGTACTGACTCCTCTTCTTGTTATTTGTCCTGTGACCCTGACGGAGGGGCACCTGTGAAGATAGAAGGTCAAAATAAGTTCAATTAGGACAGAAAATAAAACAGAAAAACACAACAGCAGTAATGATGACAAAGTGCTTCTGACCTCTTCTCCAGGCTGAGGAGGATCCTGGTTCTGGACTGGATCTCCATTCGGTGTCCTGGTCCTAAACTTTCTGCAGAGATAAAGCATTGACTGATAATGGCACCTCTCTTCTCAGCACTTTTAAGGTGTTTCAGAAGCTTTATTCTACAAGACTGAGTAATTAAAGTTCCGTACATGGAAAATGCACTTTGAATGTTGTACAATCCAGTCTCACGGCAATTCGTGAAATAGTCACAAAACTTAATCTATTAAGTTGTGTCCTGGGAGACGATTTGCCCACTTTTTCGTGTCCCCCACCACAAATTTCAAACCAATACGTTTCAACTGGAATTATCTTTTGTGTCTGGGCCACATTTTTTCCCATTAGACAACGCATATGCTGTGATGTTTTTGTCGTTCTTTTCTTCCAACAGTCAGGCATTAACCAGTTTTCCTGTTATGGCCCGTCCACACTAGTAGCTACAGAGATCTCTATACAGATGTGTGCGACCACACTGACCAACGTTAACATTTTGTAAACACCGGCACTGAGCAGCTACTGTGTGCTCCAGCTGCTATAAGCTCCATATCCATTCAAATAAAAAAGGCAAAACATATCCAGGCAGACAGAAGATGTTCTGAGATCGCTCTGAAAGTGACCCCAACGATATCATTCATAGCTATTATATCTGGCCCAGACACGAAAGACAATTCCAATTGAAATATCTTGATTTGAAATTCGTAGTGGGTAACACAAAAAACATGAGGCAGCTCATGTCCCTGGACAAGAATCAATAGATTAAGTTTTGTGACTATTTTACAAATTGCTGTGAGACTGGGTTGTCTTGTAGTGACAAAAGAAAATCAATGAATAATTTGAGTCTTTTTTCTTATATATGCAAAAACATCAAACATTTCTAGTTTCAATTCTTCCAATTTGCTGTTGATAAAAATATTTCTAAACTGCTGTAGCCTTACTTTTTCCACAAAGCAGGAGCAACTATTACAGATGAGAGCGCACGCATTCTCAATTGCACACAACATAAAGCAGGAAATAACAGCAAATTAACCAAACAAAAGTGATGTTCCTTATTAAAGCGAATGTGCACAATGATCTCCATCATATTTTCACACTGTATATGCAAGTACATGTATATGTTTTTAATTGTGCAGTAATGGGGTTGTAACTACTACCATTCTGTTCAAATGATTCCTGACACTAATGTGTTTGCTGGCAGAACAGAGAGTGAAGCAATAGTTTGTCTCAATCCACTGCGTCAACTGTCAGTTACCAACAGTTGTTCTGTTTGCATGAGTTTGCACAACAAGTTACATTCACACGTCTTCGACTCTCACTTCTCTGTTTATGTTGCCACAATGCAGTCACACACATTTGAGATTATGCAGTGGAGCCACACGTACAAACTCTGCTCTGCCAGGAGCATAGCCAGCATTTCAGGGAATTTGTGCCAAAGTACGGTCTGCTAAGGGTGCTTGAATTTTTTCTTTGAATCAAATATAGGAGTCGTGTTGAATTATATTGTGTAAAAATTGTATTTCCCAGAATTAACATCTAAGTGCTGTTTCCAAACTTGCAGTTTCAAAGGCAAACACTGATGCTCAAAGGGCTGGACATCAAACTTTAG